TGGTTATTGTGCTCGCTTCAAGTATGGATACTGAAAAATGAAAGCACTGGGAGGCTACAGATCTGGCAAATGAAATCAGACATCAAAAATTGGGCACAGAATTGATCCTTGTAGTCTTAAGATTCTTGGGGAAATCAGTTTTGTGTAGATTCTGCACTGTATTGTTGATACAGTGTCTGGAAAATTAGAGCAGGGTACCAGTGTTTAGGACTGAAATATGTGCTAGGGACTTTGGGCAACCCTGACTCTTAGTCTGTGGGTCTCTGGATCAGGGGTGTCATTATGGGTGCACACAAATGCTCTAATGTCAGGATCTGAATTGAACCCCTGGGTGTCACCCCAGCACAGGTTGGGGTACAATAATGATACAACCAGATTTGTTGCTTATTTTCTGATCTATTTCTTGCTGTGCCATGACTCCTTTTCCTTCCTCTCTCTTCTTGCTTCACTCCCCACAAAAAAAGCCAATCCCGAGCAGAACTGTGTTGCTCTGAGGTTTAGTGGAGGAGAGGCTGGGAAGCATGAGGGAAGGAGGAATTCTTCCTTCTCCACCTACCAAAGGAGAAGAAGAGCGACTTGAGAGTTCTTCTGTCTCACATGATGAAGTGAAAAATTGCTAACAGAGTGAATTTCTTTCTGTACTGAACAAAAAGTTTGTGCTATAACAAGGAACACTACTATTTTTGGTTTTTGGTGTGACAATGACACAAAATCTCCCAGACCATCCCCCTGGGTGGGTGTGTACAGCCACAAGAACTCCCTTCACACATACATTGCAGAGAGAAGTTGTTACTGGTGGCTGAACAAAAGGTCAGCAAGCTGCAAAACTGCTTTTATTACAATATGCGACATAAACAGAACCACTAGAATAAGTCTCTTTTTCTACAAAATCATGTGGCTTCTTTACCCAACAGCATCTTTTGTCCAGGATTAATCCAAATGACACTTAATGACACATAATGTGGTACCAGTGTTTAATCTCAGTTCAAAACTAGCCCTCCACTTTTGATCTTCTCATAGCTGCAGGAAGCATCCTGCAGAGAATGCTTTCATCATTTACAGCAATGTATTCACATGTCTATTTAATTAATTAGGGTTAATGCCTTCTGAAGGATATTGCTGCGTTATTAATGAAGGTTGGCTGTACACTTAGATCAATGCAAACAAATGAAAGGGAAAGCAGACAGTGGTTTAGGAGCTGTGAAGCTGAGATAAACTCCTTCATTTCTTAGAAAACCCACTGATCCTGAAGAGATCAACAGGTTCTTCCATATTTCCAAGTATTCTGCTATGATCACATATCTATCGTGCTTTCTTTATGACCTCAGAGGCTTTGAAGAAAGTTTTCTTCCCAGGAGAACATAAAATTTAGCCTTTGTAACATCAGGTAAAAAGAAAGAGCAGGGAGATACTGGCATTTTGGTAATGCCCCCATAATACTAGAGCAAGATGGTTATAAGCCAAGATTTGCAGGAAAATTTTCAGCTCCTTAAAGATTTTGATTATGTCTCCTGAGAAGAATATTGAGGTTGAGAATAGACTGCTATTCATATAGCCTATTCAATGCTACAGACAGCATTAACCACATATAATTTGTAATACACTGAAATGTGGCTGGCTGACCTTTTTTCTGGATGCTTTGTCACTTTGGAGGGAAGTCATATAGGTGAGAACCTTAGCTATCTAAATGCATCTGTTACAGCATCATCAGTATCTGTGTAAAAAAGATACTGGTGTGCCCAGAGCAGGCAGCAAACTGTTCAGAGACAGCCTGAAAACACAAGAGCCTTTCTTAACTTGGGTTTGCCTTTTCAACCAGTGGTGCAAAATTGGATGACACTTCATAAACTTATGTTACTCACTTCACAGCTTTTATGAAAATGGTTTGCTTTACAGTATTTAAGCTCTGCAAGTCTGTGAGTTCTCAAGAGCTAAGAAAAAACCTCCCCACAACATGCACTTTATATGTGGCTTTAATTATCCACAGTTCTCTGGTGGATGTTTGCTTGTTTGCTGTGTTGATTGGAAGCTCCTGGGAGGATCACTGACAGTCATTAGTCCTGCTGGAAGAAAATTGCTCTGCTGCTTGGGCTGAGGATCTGAACAAGGCACTCTGTGGCAGTGAGCATTACAGAGCTTAAAATATCATCCAATTCTCGAGTGCCTTGACCCACCTGTAATTGCCTACTCCGGAAACATGGATTTCAAACTGTTTTATTACTAGTGTTACACTCCACAGAGGTAGCATTTACTTACTTTTCCCAAGTGAAACAAATGCCCAGAATAGTACCTAGCAAAAAATCAGGCAAAGAGTGTTCCTCTAAGAGCTTTACCCTTTTGAACTGCCAAAAAATAATAACAGTTAACAGAAAAATTACTCTGATTTTGCCACCACTATTTGTTTTTTTCCAGGCTGCTGAATACCAGAGCCACACCAGTGTGCAATAATGTTTTCATACACTGCCATCTGTTGTTACAGTGTGCCTGTGTCACCACTGTGCTGTGCTGTGCTGCTCGGGTTTCTGTTCCAGCAGCAAACATCCTACCCAAGAAGGCTGTTAAATTGGAGAACTGCTTTAATTCATACATGCAGTGAGATTCCAACAACTCTGCTTTCACGTGTGGCCACAGCCAAAGTAATGTTGCTTTTAATCCCTCTTCACTTATTTCAATAGTGAAGTTTGTATCTTTATTTAATCTAGGGGATTCAGGTTCTGAGTAGTAAATATACAACAAAACACACCACAAACTTCATATATATTTACACACACTAAAATTACAAAGTATTCTGTCAGCTCATGAGTACATTTACAAATACAGTCCTGCTTATTTAAACAGCTGTTTCAGAATCTGTATGTTTAGCTACAGTTTGTATATATATATATATAGGTTATGGATTTGAATCCAAGATCTGATGAGTTAGCACCTTGTTCCCTAAATTTGTATTAGAAAAAATAGAACATAATGTCCCAGAAGCTGGCAGGAAGGTAAAACAATTTGTGTGATCAAATGAGGGGCAATCAAATATGTTGGGAGAGCAGTCTGAAGCACTCAGGCATGACAGGCAGATACACAGTAACAAATGAGTTGGCAACTGGAGGAAGTAAGGGAGCTGGGAATTGGCCTAGACCTACAGAATTAGATTAATATCGATGCCTTAGAGCAGCTCACACAAGTATGCAGCTATCAAAGTTCTGAAAATGCTCGTGAGAAATGGAACAGTTGAGACTGCCCAAACT